ACTAATGCCTTGTACTATCGTTAGCACTGTTACTACTGTGCCCTCCAAGGTTGTGTCCAGTTCACCCTCACAGAGTAGACATTCACAAATTCTTCAGACATATGTTTTGTTGTTCTAAATCTTACCCTAATTCATTCATTCTTTTCTTCCTCTTCCATGTTGGGCAATCAGCCCAGGGCCTCATGCATGCTAAGAACACTCAGTCCCTATTTTTCCTTTTTTTAGTTAGTTTGATACCAGATCTCATTCTGCAGCTCAGGCTGGCCCCAAACACTTGGCAATCATCTTGCACCATCCTTTTCAGTTGCTGGGGTTACAGTGTGAGCCACCACACCCAGCTTCTGTTTTTAAAAACATTTAAAACAAATCTTTTTGAGACAGGGTTTCCCTATAGCTATAGCTGGTCTGGAACTAACTATGTAGATCAGACTGGCCTCTGCCTCCTGAGTGCTAGGATTAAAGGTGGCCACCACCATGCTCAGATTTTTTTTGAGACAGGGTCTCTCTTTAGCCCTAGCTGGCCTGGAACTCACTATGTAGACCAGGCTGGCCTTGAACTCACAGAGATCTACCTGCCACCACGCCCAGCTGCTCAGATGTTTTTTTTAACTGTTTATTTACTGTATACGTATGTGCATTCTGCCTACAGGAAAACAATGCTGTCTAGTTTGGAAGCACTATCTCTGCTAAATTATAAACTTTACCAGCAGCTCACCTTTTCCTGATAGAGCTTCAGCATGTGTGTGGAGGTCAAAGGACAACCTGTGGGAGTTTGTTCTCTGGTTCCACAGGTGGTTCCAGGGATTGAACTCGTTCATCAGACTTGGTGGCAAGTGCATTTCCACACTGAGCTATCTTGCTGGCCCCCAGCTTCTGTTTTTCTTCTGGTTTTTTTTTTTCCTTTTTCTTCTTCTCTTCTTTTTGAGACAGGATCTCTCTGTAGCCCCAGCTGATCTGGAACTCACTGTGTAGACCAGGCTGATATTGAACTCACAGAGATCCACCTGCCCCTGCTTCCTGAGTGCTGGGCTTAAAGGTGTGTACTACCACACCCCATCCAGCTTCTGTTTTTAAGTGCTTGGACTACATGTGTTTCCAGTACCTATAATTTTCTCATTTAAAAAAAAGAGAGCGATCTTCAAGCAGTGGTTGCTCTTTGAGACTGAGGTTGCCCTGACCTCAGATTCATAATCTTCCTGCCTCAGCCTCTTGAAAAACTGGCATTATAAGGCATATAACACTGCCCAGCTTCAAGCAGTATTTTCTTGTGTGTGTGTGGGTAGGTCAGAAGACAAGTTTTAGGAGTCAGTTCTCTCCACCTTGTTGAGGCAGGGTCTCTGTCTTGTTGTTTCTGCTTCAATGCATATTCTAGGCTGATCTGGGTGATTCTGCCTCTGCCTCCTATGTCCCTGTAGGAGTGCTGGGATTACAGATGTGCAATAGTTCACTGGGCTTTTTAGGAGGGTTCCAGATGTGGAACTCAGATCATCAGACTTGTGGGTCAATCACTTACCTGTGTGGCGTCTTGCTGGCCCTCAAGCAACATTTTAAGATATTAATAATACACTATTACCATTCTTGAAAGGCAGTTGCATGCCCAGAGTACTCAAACTTAACACCAAAATGCTAGGTCCAGTGAAAGTTTATTATTTTTTGGTGGTACTTGGAATGTTAGTCACACACTCTGTTACTGAGCTATACCCCTATCCCATGAAAATATTTAAAACTCTCTTGTATAAATGTAATGAAGCAAAGTAGAATAAAAATCCATACCCAAAAGAGGAGAAAAAGTGGGTAAGGTGGCTCAGCAGTAAAGGTGCCTGCTGCCAAGGCCAAGGATCTGAGTTAATCTCCAGAGTCCACATGATGCCTGAATTTCACAGGCATGCTATGGCACACATATCTCCCCTCCAATAAACACAATAAATAAATGTGGTAAAAATAATATTTTTATGTAAAGGAGGAAAAAATGGACATGGTAGTACAGTCCTTTAATCCTAGCACACGAGAGTCAAAGGCAGGCAGATATTTGTGAATTTGAGGCCAACCTGGTCCACATAGAAAGATAGAGAGTTCCAGGCTAGCCAGAACTGCATAGTGAGACCCTGTCTCAGTTTTTAAAAAAAGGATTAAACTACTTTCTTGGTTTTATATATTAAAGTTCAGTATTTTACTGAAGTCTGAGTCTGATATTTAAATCCTGAGAACTTTCCAAAGTAGTTAACATTTTGCTATGATAAAAGGTCTAGTAATGATAAATCAAAAAAATTTTAAGTGTATTTTAAAAATGAGCTACTGGGGAGCTGAAGAGATGGCTCATGGTTAACAGCACTGGCTGCTCTTGTAGAGGACGCAGGTTTCGTTTCCAGCACCCACATGGTGACTAACAACCATGTGTAATTCCAGTTCCAGGGGATCAGTGCTGTCTTTGGCCTTCAAAGGCGGTAGTGGAGTGCTTACAGAGCTAGAATTGATTCCCAAGAGCTGTCCTGTCTGGTCCCCTATGAAATGGTATAATAAACAGCTATTTTACAAAGTGGGCTATTTTAGCTATTATCAAATTGGAAGGGTATTCAAGACACATTGTGAAAAGTCTATTGTTGGGGGGCACTATAATGTGCTCCTTTTTCATTTAAAAATATTTTTATTTTTTCTTTTTTTGTATGTGTATATATGTTGCCTATGCATTTGTATGGGTGTGTAGCCGTGTGTGTGTGGGGGGGGTGCACATGTACATGTGTGCAGTTATGTGTGTGGATGCCAGAAGTTGATGTGGGGTGTCTCTGTCAATCTCCACCTTATTTATATTGATATTTATTTATTTGAGGCCAGGTCTGTCACTGAGCCTGTAGTCTTTTTTTGTATGTGTATATATGTTGCCTATGCATTTGTATGGGTGTGTAGCCGTGTGTGTGTGGGGGGGGTGCACATGTACATGTGTGCAGTTATGTGTGTGGATGCCAGAAGTTGATGTGGGGTGTCTCTGTCAATCTCCACCTTATTTATATTGATATTTATTTATTTGAGGCCAGGTCTGTCACTGAGCCTGTAGCTTGCCATTTAGGTTAGGCACCCCAGGGATCCTGATATTTTGACACCCCACAGTGGGTGCTAGGGATCAAAGCTGTAGTACTCATGTTTGCACAGTAAGGACTTTACTAACTGAGCCATCTCCCCAGCCCATGATCCCTATTTTAAAAGACTTTTATTATGTTAATGTTTGTATGTTTTAGACATATAGAATGTTTCTGACCTCCACAAACATACTGTGGCACACTCTCATTGAGTGTGCACATGGTCACACAGAGAGAAAATAAATGTAATTTTTTAAAAATTCAAAATATGTATATCTGGAGACAGCAAGATGGCTCAGCAGGACAAGACACTTGCTACCAAACCAGACAATGTGAGTTTGATCCCTAAGACTCACAAGGTAGAAGGAGGGAATTGATTCTCAAAAGTTGTTCTCTGGGGGCTGGAGAAATGGCTCAGCAGTTAAGAGCACTGACTGCTCTTGCAGAGGACCTGGGTTTAATTCCCAGTACCCCCATGGCGACTACGAACCATCCCCAACTCCAGTTCCGGGGGAATCCAAAGCCCTCTTCTGACCTCTGCGGTATTGCGCGACACAGGTGCACTCACATACATGCAGGCAATACACTCATACACATCAAATAAAAATAATAAATAAAATATTTTTTTAAGTTATTCTCTGACCTCCACAAGTGTGCTATAGCACGTGCAAGTGCACACACACCAAACAAAAAGAAAAACACAAAAAGTAATTTAAATTGTTTTTAATGTATACATATCTTTACAAAAGTCCAGAGAGATAAATATAAATAGTTTAATACTGAAGTGATAGAATTATGGAATTCACTGCTTATGTTTTCCAACAAGCATATATTACGGTTGTTTTTTTTAACAAAAGTGCCAAAAAAATCAAATAATTTTCTGAAATCAAAAACCAAAGCACAGCTGGACGTGGTGGCGTACACTTTTAATCCCAGCACTTGGGAGGCAGAGGCAGGCGGATCTTTGTGAGTTCGAGGCCAGCCTGGTCTGTATAGCGAGTTCCAGGACAGCTGGGGCTACAGGGAGGAGATCCTGTCTCAAAAAAGACAACAACAACAACAAAAACAAAAACAAAGCAAAAATTTTCACCCTTTTTTCTTTCACCTTTCAGGTGATCCCAGTGAATTCTGCAGGCTCTCCTGTGGGAGATGTGCCCTTCATCCGATCGGGGTTGCTGGGATTTGTAGGGCCAGTAAGTGATGCTTCCAAGTTGATTTTGCTACATCTGGTCTAAGATTTGTACTTTACTTCATAGAACATAATGAATTCTGAGTTGTTTAAGGGTGTCACAGTGCCACTTCTGTTTAGCGTTATGAGTGCCTTGAAAGAGCTAATGTTTATTGTGTCCATTGCATAAGTTCATTTGGGTTCTTCAGACTTAGGTATTACATGCTGTATTTTCAAACCTCTTCTCACTTTTTCTCAGTACCTCCTTTTGATTTGGTTAACCTGTTAGGAGACTGCTAGAAAAGTTACTTTCAGTAGCAAAGGAAAACAGAATAGGTAGTGTACATTTTCATATACATTATCATCTCTACTCACCCTGTGTAACTGTGACTCTTTGAAAATAATGTATTACTCAGCAAGTGGTATTTATAGACACTGTGTTGAGAGACACCTAGGACCCCAGAAGCCTGTTCTCAAAGAGCACACAGTGAGCTTCATGAGTTCCTGAGGAAGGATGGCAGGTCAGGAAGGCCTGTGGGTGAGGCAGTGGGAAGTATTTGGCAGTCATTATCCTAAATCCATAGCCCTCCATCCATTGCTGAGTCCTTCCTACCCCTTCTCAACTGCTTAACTTATCTAAGAGACTCTAAAATTTACTTTATTTCTCCCCTCCATTTGTGGGGGTTTGGCTGAGGGCATGGATCTGAGAGAATCACTCTCCTAGAAATAGTAGCATACATTATGATGCATTGTACAGCTGCCTTGACTTCCTCACCCAGCATCAAAATGTTTTCAAACACCCAACTCTTTAGCTTAGTGCTCTATTGTTGAGGTCCAGGATGGAGCTTCAGCCCTCATATCTGAGGCTGAAATGCAGTCTTTATTTTGGTCAGCCATGTTTAACTAACATCCTCTTACTGTGAAAGAATTGGAGAAGCAGGCCTTGAATACTGGTAGTGACTGTCTCACTCTTTGATTACCAACATCAACATTCACAGACTGCTGGAAATGCCGGCTCTCCTCTGGTATCAGTGATAGTTCCATGATTCCATGAGCATAGAGATGCTGTCTTTCTCATTTAGCCTAGTCACTGTATGGCACTATACTGTGCTCAGTAAGTTAATGAATGACATTCACATGGAAATAACGACTAGATTTATTGAATTACATATAAGTGGTCCAAGACATATAGCTTACTACAGATGAGTCACAGTTATGTGTTTTGGGCTTTGATCATAGTTGCCTGCTGTGCTGTTATCTTTCTGGGAAAGAAAATCTCCTGCAACATTCTTAGACCTTCCCTGTGTAGTCTACTTCTAATCTTGCCAAATGGAAACATTACCCTTCCAGGCTTGAAACAGTCATTCACATATTAAAACTGTTGACTTCTCTAATTCTAGTAGTAAATGAATTAACATTTTTCTCCCCTGCATTCACCCTGTGACAAGATACAGAATATAAACTAATTCATTTTTGTGGTTGGGAACATAAGCTATGTGTGTATGTAAACTTAATTTGTTTCCTATGCAATTTCCTCCTAAAAAGAAATACGAATGAATTCACTTCTTAACGAACTATAAGATCTCCCTCATTGGAGGCTGGCAAGATGGCTCAGCAGGTGAAGGCTCCTGCCACCAAGCCTGATCACCTGAGTTCAACATCTAAGACTCATGTGCTGGAAGAAGAGAACGTAACTCCCTCAAGTTGTCCCCTGGCCTCCGCACACGTGCACCCATCCACTATCCCCTCCCATACAAATGGGATTTTAAAAAAGCCAGGCGGGGGTGGAGAGATGGCTCAGCGGTTAAGAGCACTGACTGCTCTTGCAGAGGACCTGGGTTCGATTCCCAGCACCCACATGGTGGCTATGAACCATCCTTAATTCCAGTTCCAGGGGAATCCAAAACCCTCTTGTGACCGCAGCATTGCACGACACGGGTGCACTCACATACATGCAGGCAATACACTCATACACATAAAATAAAAATAATAAAATATTTTAAAAAATAAAAATTAAAAAAGCCAGGCATAATGGTGCATACCTTTAATCCCAGCATTTGGGAGGTAGAGGCAGGTGGGTATCTGTGAAATTGAGGCCAGCCTGGTCTACATAGTGAGTTCTAAGTCAGCTGATTCAAGGGGTTTTCTTTAAAATCCATAAATATGGGGCTGGAGAGATGGCTCATCAGTTAAAAGCTCTGGCTGCTCTTGCAGAGTACCCAGGTTTGCTTCTCAATACCCACATGGTGGCTAACAACCATCCATAACATAGTTCCAGGGGATCTGACACCCTACTGACTTCCTTGGGCATTGCACACATGTGGTGTACTTACATGCAGGTAAAACACTCATAAAATTAAAAAATAATAAAATATTTAAAAATCCATAACATACCAACATTATTTTCTTTCACATCAATACACACTTTTTGTGGTGTTAGATTGAATTATGCACATGCCTCACAGTTGTCTTTGTTCACATTTTTAATGAGATTTACTTCTGAAGAGGAAATGTAAAGTATCTGTTTCACTCTTTAAACCATGGAAACAAAGGTAATCATTATTAACTTTCAGGGTAGCTTGGTGTTCGTGGTTGGAAAAATGGATGGATTACTCATGGTTAGTGGTCGAAGACATAATGCTGATGACATTGTTGCAACTGGATTGGCTGTTGAGTCTATAAAGACTGTCTATAGAGGAAGGTGAGTGGTACAGGGTTGGGGGTTGGCACTCCTAGGAGAACCTGAGTAGTGCTTCACCGAGCAATCTGAGTTGTGTTCCGTAGATTCTCATCACAATTAGACCGGGTTAAAATAGCAGAAGTCTGGCTTTGAATATATATCCTTCAATGTCTGGTTCTTTGGCTGTAATTGAAAAGAATGAGACATAACTACATAGGTATACCAGAGTCTAATTGTCACTATTTATTGAATACTGAAAACTGAGAATTCTAAAACACAATATTGAGCTTTCCACGTTTCTTCAATACAGAAGTAGTACCATTCAGGCTAATGTAGGTAGATACCACTCTCTAGAGATTCACATGTAAGAATTGTTCCTCATTTCTGACTAAATTATTACAGTTTGAATATAGAGATTGACAAAGCATCTAAGTGCTAGGAGTTTCCATTCTGTGGGGAGGTCAGTCAGCACAATGCAGGAACAAGCATTTGGGCTGCTGCTGGCTTGTTTCAGCAGTTACAGCTGAAGACGTCTATCTTTTAGGGTTTTTGTCTTGTTTTGTTTTGTTTTTACATAAGAACTTTTTTGTACAGGTATATGATGTGCTTTGAGCATGTGCCTCCCCTACCCTCCTCTTTTGCATTTCTTTCATAGCCCATATTTATATCTCTCTGTCCAGTTTGGTTATTTAATAACAGCTTATCATGATGTTCCCCAAAGTCTTCCTACCTAATCCACAGACTTCTAACACCTAATCCCTTCTCACCTAAGCCAAAGAAGGGATTGATTTCCTAATTCAGCAAAGATAAGTTTAAAGTTAGAAGCAAATGTTATGCTCTGAAACTCAGAAAACTAAAACATAAATAGCAACCCAGGTCAGCTTGGCCTGGTTCTTTAGAGAAAATCTGCTGCTTTGCCTTGTGTCTACCAGATAACTAACTACAAATACCACCTAATCTGTTTATAGCTGATTGCTGTGTGCTGTTGGTTTCTGGCAGAAAGCAAACAGAATGTATCCCATGCCTGCCAAAACATGCTCATTTATGGTGGGATCTTCATCTATGAGTCACTGAAGAGGAGTCTGCCAGTCCCTCACTTGCTCTGTCATCCTGGAAATAAAGTTAGTCTTTTGTTGGGTTTGGGTTACTAGCTCAATACACGGAGTTATTTGATCCAGTTCTGTGAAGTCTATTCAATGTAAAAGTGCATTTTTTGGTCCACATCTGGGAGAAAAGAGTGGGTGGGTCATGGTAAGCAATGAGATAGATGGCAGGTGGTAGTGAAGGGAGCCAGAGGCAGAATGAGACTGAGGGAGAAAAGAAAGCAACACAGCCTGGCGTTTGCCATGCACCTTTCCAAAAAGACAGCTTGCCTTGCTTTGTGTAAATGAACTGAAAAAAAAAAATGGCTGTGTTCTATCTAGCCCCTGTTTTGAATCTCATGGATAGTGAGGTCAATTTTAAGCAATGCCTTCATTTTTGCTTCGTTTTGTTTTGTTCTGAATTTACGGGCATGGTTAAATGAACTGGCATAGGAAGGTAGGTGAAATTCCTTTCCATGTGCGTTGACTAGCGGCCCATTGCAGTTTGAAAGCAGGACTGGCAGACAGGTATTGCCTCTAGTGCTAACACTGAGCAATCTCGTTGTGGCTGCCTGCAGTGTTCTTCTATGAGGAGGATTTCACACATCT